GCCCAGGAGAGGAGTTAAACAGGGTGATCCTCTATCACCTTATCTCTTTATACTATCATGTGTTGCTTTCACTAGAGGTCTTAAATGGCATATGGACAGGGGACTCATTAAGCCTTATTGGATGGGCACTTTTGGCTACCCTATCTCTCATCTAGGTTATGCTGATGACTTACTAATTTTTCTAAATGAAGAGTCAAGATCTTTACTCAATTTCAAAAGATTCTTAAAATCTTACCAAGAAGCTTCGAGGCAAACGGTGAATCTGCACAAAAGCTCTTTTATCACTGGTAAGAATGAAAGTGCCAGAACTGCCACCATCCAAAACATGCTTGTGGTATGCAAGCAACTTCTCTTCCTGTGAGATACTTAGGTGTCAATCTGCATAAAGGGATAAATAGAAGTCAGTTTTGCATGAATATTGTTGATCAATTTGAAACTAAACTCTCAACTTGGAAACAAAAAAACTTATCTCAAGGTGGGCGCCTGATTCTAATCAAACATGTTTTAAACACCCTCCCTTTGCATATACTGGCTGCAGATACACTCCCCCAAAAAATCATCAATATTCTGGAAAGAAAAATGGCTTCATTCTTCTGGGGTTCATCTGTTAGTAGACAAAATTATCATTGGATTAGATGGTCACATATATGTTTTCATGTGGAAGAGGGAGGTCTGGGCATAAGAGCTCTTTCAGATATTGAGAAAGCATTCACCATTAAATTATGGTGGAAATGGAAAGCTGGAAATTCTCTATGGGCTGAGTTTATTAAAGCTAGATATGATAGAGGCCCCATCCAATATGAAGCCTAAAGTTTCAGACTCCCCAATCGGGAGACGAATCTGCTCAATAAATGATGTGGCTATGGAATTGTGTGGCTCTAACTTAGATGGTACCTTCTTCTGGGAACCTGCGAAGGATGGGAGGTTTTCTTTTAGGTCTGCCTATGATTGGGTCAGAAAGGAAATGCCTTCTACATTTTCTTTTAAACATATTTGGCAGCATAGACTTCCTTTGAAAATTCAGCTTTTTCAATAGAAATTGCTTCATGGAATTCTACCTATCTAAGAAAATCTTAACAGATTTCACCTTGTTTTGAATCCATCAAGGTGTCCCCTCTGCAAAGTAGCTTCTGAATCAGTTGATCATATCTTTCTTAATTGTGAAAAGGCTAGGCCAATTTGGGTGTACTTCAATGGTATTTTTGGCATTAATCCTAGATATGAATTAAATACCATTAGGAAACTCCTAATGACCTGGTGGATAAAGGCTGGCTCAAAAACTTTGAGAGATATTTTTGAAAACAACCTCCCTGGAATCATATGCTAGTTCCTATGGAAGGAATATGCAAATATATTATGGGGCACAGGAGATATCTGTCATTCTAGTGAAAGCATTATCTCTCAGATAAAACATTTCACTCAAACTTGGGTTATGAGCTACTCAAATGCGAAGGTTGGAAAGGTGGATAGCATCCTCTTTGAAGAGAATTTTATACCTACACATTACAAACCGCAGCGACCGGTAATCTCCATAGCCAGATGGACAAGAACTAAAACAGCTCTGAAGTTAAACGTTGATGCGAGATTTGTACCTTATTCTACAGCGGGTGGGGCTATTTTGAGAAATGGCGATGGCCTCCTCATTGCTGCTACATCTTTTTCGCTCAGCGCCGATTTGAGCTTAGAGGTGGAAATCTTGGCTGTCACCCGTGCGACAGTCTGGGCTATTCGAGCAGGTTATTCTGCTTTCCAGGTTGAAAATTGAAATGGATGCACTTGAAGCTTTGCGGTACATCGAAGATAATAGGGGAGGAAGATGGAATGATATCATAAAGGAAATGTTACTTTTGGCCAGAGGCAAATTGGACAGCCCATTATTTAGCCATCAACGCTTCGCATCAGGACCAGATTTATACTCACTCTGTTGCAGTTACCGGTCCAAGCTAAAAATGCATATTTTAAGGTCTTAGGGGTGTTTGGAACTGATTCTAATTCTGCTTCTTTTTTAAAGCAGAAGCAGAATCAGAATCAATTTTCAGAAGCTGGTACCCCCCAGCTTCTAAAAAAACTGATTCTGAGAGTAAATTAAAGCACAAGAAGTGCTTCTGGAATTTCACCCAAACACTCCAGCTTCTGCTTCTGCTTTCTGAAGGAGCAGAATCAGTTTTGAGAATCAGATCCAAACACCCCCTTATTTGACATACCTTCTGTTCGTTTGTCTACTTAGTATTTTTCTTTTTATTTTTATCTGTAATTTTCAAGTTTGGGTCAGGTCTAGCCCCCTCAAATCTGTTTCTTTTCATTTTTTGTTGTTTTGTATTTCTAAGAGGGATGCCTCTTTGAAGTGGTTTTGGTTTGGTCCTCCACTTCTTCTGTATTCGTTTTCTCTTATTAATAAAACTCTGGTAAATGTTCCCTGGCATTTACCCAACTGATTTTGGTGGTTTACCTTCTGGGTTAAAAAAAATGAAATACAATATACTTATTTTATGTGGATTAATAAAATTTTGTAATAAATTGGTAAAGAAAAAAATTAATTCAGTTGTAATTTAATTAGTTAAAGATAATCATAAGTAAAAAATCACAAACAATTAGATGTAACTCATGCATAAATTAGATGTAACTCGCGCATAAAAATATGTAACTCACGCATAAGAAGATGTAACTCATGACGTATAACAAGATTTAACTCACACATGATAACATGTAACTCGAGCATAAGAAGATGTAACTTCATATAATACCAAATGTAACTCCAAGAATCAAAATAAACAAGCTCAATGTCTTAAAAACCTCTAAAAACATATAAAAGGGATAAACAAATATTATAGAAAAAGTGTATGCATATAAAAGTTTATTACTCGTACAAAAAAATGTATGAATATAAAAAAGATATTACAAAAATGTTGTATGAATATAAAAAATATTACATAAATAAAAACAGTGTATGAATTTGAAATGCAATATAATTATTTTATTTGGATTAATAAACTTTTTGTTATGTATTGATAAAGAATAAAAAATAGATTCAATTATAATTTAAGTTGAAGATAAAGAGAAGTAAATTTGCAATTAAATTTTTAATATTTTAATTTAGTGGAAAATGAGTAGAATTTAAAAGCAAAAGAAGAAAAATAAAGAAAGTAAAGCAAAAGATAAAGGAAACAAGAAGCTCCGGGAGGGAAAAGTAACGTAACTTACAAATAAATGTGGGATCGACACACCATGCGAAAGGTGAGCTAATCCCATGATATAATTTGCGAAAGTAATAAAAGTGGGGTATTTATCTTAAAAACTTTTCTAAAATCTTTCCTAAAAGAGAAAGAAGCACGATTAATAAAAACAGATCAATGTGTGTAAATAGGAGCACATACTGAGTGTTAATAATCTATTTTAGATAGAGAATATTATCCGAAATAGGACTAAAACAATTTGAAAATCCAAAATAGGACTGCAATGTTTTTATTCCCAAAATAGGACTAATTACTGTCATGTTTTAGCAGTACCAGACTTCAAACATGACAGTATTTTTTAAAATGTCTGTAATTAGTCCTATTTTGGAAATAAAAAATAAGACAATTCTATTTTAGAATTTTAAAACTGTTTTAGTCTTTCGGGAAATTTCTCTAATTTGGTGAAGTAGCGAATCGCATCACCGCTAAAACAATAGAGTCTAGGACAAGAATTTTGACTTTCAATGATGACACAATTATAAAATATTGTGAAATTTCATCAAGAGCATCATATACGTTTTCGTTTTCGTTTTCATACGTTTTCGTTTTCGTTTTCATGAGTTACTCTACATCCAATTTAAGTTTGTCATTGTCTCTTTTGAAAGTTCTAACTAAAGTTTCTCATTTATATTTCAAGAAATAAGTAACACTTATAAAAAATCAATTAATTATCAAATATGAAAAATAATAGAAAAAATTGACAGAATAATCACACCTTTCATTGGTCTTCTCATAATAATCTCAATTTTACGTAATCTAAGAATAATCTTATCATTGCACCTCATCTTCTTTCGTTTGACCCTGACATGTTTCATTTTTTCTTTTTTCTCCCTAAATTTTTTCTTTCTTTATTTTCATCCCTAGACACTTTTATTCCTTTTTCTATCCTTTTGTTCTTATTTCTTTTCCATTTTTAATTATTATTCTATTTCTTACTATTAGGAGATTTTTTTATATAAAATTACTCTTCAAAATATCTCTTTTTTGTCGTTTTCTTTTTTCTTTCTGTATTTTATTTCATTTCTTTTTTTATGTTTTTCTTCTTAATCATTCTCTTCTTATGTAAATGTAGGTTATTATGAGAAGATCAGTGAAAGATGAGATTATTCTTGTCATTTTTTCCAAAATAATACACATATAACATCACTTTTGTCATCAATGACCTAAACATACGCATGTCCTCATTAATTCTCAAATGTAACACTTTATGTATTTAAACACACATAAATATAGTCATGATGTATTTATACTTTTATCTTATCAAAAGATGTTGGTCCTAGTATTTGTCATTATTTCATAGGAAATGTATTTATATATGACACGTTGATAGATTTTAGGAACTTTTTTTCTTTCTCTTCCCACAAATCTCTATGAGACAGTTAACTTTATAAACTTTTAAGGAACAATGCGTATATGACTTACACTACAAAAAAACACGGAATAGACACGGATTTGGCACAAATTTGTCAATGATTTCGTGCCAATTCAAATAGCTCGTGTCAAACTATTTTTGTCAAGTATTTGGTATATCCCTACCAAAATCCTTGCAAATTTTGGTAAATCTCTGCCAAAAAACATGCCAATCCCGTATTTTTTTTGTGCCTCATTTATGTCGTGTTGATAGCAAAGTTTCACATACAGTTTAGGTGCCAAAATCTTCATTACGTACGTGAATCATTATTTAATTTGTCCATGATACAATATACTAGTATACGATCGTATAATATGTCCACTAGCTACCTAATAAGTGGAGTATAAGTTTATAAGCAGTACTCCGCACTATATATGTTAGGCAGTCCCATTGCATTTCCGCGTAAAATGGAAGCTATAGCAAGCACCAAAATGAAGAAACTCCTCCTTTGCTTGAGCTCTATAGTCTTAGCCGTTGGAGTGTGCGGCGGCCCTTTGCTCTTACGCCTCTACTTCCTCCGCGGAGGCCACCGGATATGGTTTTCCAGCTGGCTACAAACCGCCGGATTCCCCATCATTTTCATGCCACTTCTCCTATCATATCACCGCCGGCGATGTGGTGGTGAAAGCCCAAGAAACACCACTGCCCTCTTCCAGATTTCTCCGTGTTTATCCATATGCGCAGCCCTAATCGGTGTTCTCGTCGGCGCCGACAACTACGCCTACTCCTACGGCGTGGCAAAGCTTCCGGTGTCAACCTCATCCCTTGTCACCGCCACTCAGCTCGCCTTCACGGCCGGGTTCGCTTTCCTGCTCGTGAAACAGAAGTTCACGGCCTTTTCCGTCAACGCCGTAGTTTTGTTGACTCTGGGGGCGGTGGTGTTGGGCGTGCATGCCGGAAGCGACCGGCCGAACGGGGAGTCAAAGAATGCGTATACGGTGGGGTTTGTGTTGACGGTGGCGGCGGCAGCTTTGTATGGGCTGATCCTGCCATTGGTGGAGCTGAGTTATGCGAAGGCAAAACAGACAGTTAGCTTAGGTTTGGTGTTGGAATATCAGTTGATTATGGGTTTTGTCGCCACGGTTATCTCCACCGTAGGAATGCTTATCAACCAGGATTTTGAGGTACGAATAATATCATAGGTACTCCTCCTCGGTTTCATAAAAGAATTTCTACACTATTCACACATCTTACTTTCATTACGATTTTCTAATAATATACGTAGTATATAATAAAACAACAACAACAACATCCAAGCCTTAATCCCAAAAGAATTTGGGGTCGGCTAACATGAATCGATCTATGATATCGATGCCAAAAAGAGAAGGCGGACAAGAAAAGGAAAAAAAGTAAGATAAAATGAAAAAAATAAAGATACATAAATATAAGATAACAATAACACAAGAATATAACCAAGATAAAAGAAAAATAAATAAAAGAGCATAAAAAAGCTAGAAGATAAAAATAACATAAGAATATAAAAAGATAAGGAAGATAAACGATAAAAGAAACAAGAGAGTAAAGGTAGACAAGACATCAATCGTCCACATGGATGTGCGCCCTCCACTTTGCTCTCTTCAAAGCCATACTCTCATCCAACCCAAAAAGACGCATATCAGTTCTGATTACTCTAATCCAAGTCTGTTTGGGTCTTCCCCTCCCTCTTCTTCTCTGACTCTTCTCCCCACCCCTCAAGTCGTCTAACAGGTGCATCACTCGGTCTTCTATGCACATGCCCAAACCACCGCAAACGAGACTCCTGCATCTTATCTTCTATAGGTGCTACTCCCACCTTTTGTCTGATTACCTCATTCCTCAGGCGGTCTTTTCTGGTATGTCCACACATCCAACGTAACATACGCATCTCTGTCACACTCATCTTTTGAATGTGGCATTGCTTCACCGCCCAACACTCTACGCCATACATTAATGCCGGCCTAATTGCTGTACGATAAAATTTACCTTTCAGTTTAGTCAGCATACCTCGATCGCATAGAAATCCTGAAGCACTTTTCCATTTCATCCACCCAGCTCTGATTCTATGACATACATCTCCATCTAATTCACCATCCTTCTGAATTATGGATCCAAAGTAACGGAACATATCACACACCGGTATCTCCTTACCATCAAGAGTAATCCCACTGTAGCTACTGCTTCTACCTCCACCGAACTTGCACTCCATATACTCAGTCTTGCTTTGGCTCAGTTTGAAACCCTTTCTCTCCAATGTTTGTCGCCATATTTCCAACTTTGCTTTAACACCGGATTGTGTCTCATCAATCAATACAATATCGTCGTCAAACATGATGCACCACGGTATATCTTCTTGAATTGACTTCGTAAGTTCATCCATGACTAAAGCAAATAAGAAAGGACTCAGAGCAGATCCTTGGTGCACTCCAATAGTAATAGGGAACTCTGCGGTCCTCCCTACACTAGTGCGGACACTTGTAGTACAAGCATCATACATATCCATGATGATGCTGATATACTTACGTGATATGCCTTTTCTAGTTAAGGCCCACCAAAGAACTTCTCGAGGTACCCTATCATATGCCTTTTCTATGTCAATGAACACCAAATGCAGATCCTTTTTAGTGTCTCTATACTTCTCCATAACTTGTATAAGAAGGTGAATAGCCTCAGTTGTTGAGCGTCCAGGCATAAAACCAAATTGATTCTCCGAAATTTTCACACTTTTACGTAGTCTTTGCTCAACCACTCGCTCCCAAAGTTTAATGGTGTGACTCATAAGCTTAATCCCTCGATAGTAAGCACATTCTTGTACATCACCCTTATTTTTAAATAAGGGAATGAGAGTACTCTTCCACCAACTCACTGGTAGTATAGAATAAAACTATTATGTATAAAATATTAATAAATTTGTATTAATGTAAATTTCCAATATATTAACTTTTTTTAATGTTTAGAAGTAATACATAAATAAATATAATTACAGTCAAAGTTGCACGTTAGCAAACGTGAAAGTCAAACTGTTGCAACTTTTATGGAACAGAAGATAGTATTAATGTTGAGTTGATTACCTATTTAGGACTAAAACAAGTTTGGTATGCACAAATAGGACCTAAAACCGAGTCTATGATTCATAGGACTTAAAACCACCTATTTATACAAAAATGCCCCCATTCGGTTTTTATTTGAATTCAAAATTTAAAAAGTAAAATTAAAATTTCAGGAAACCTTAATATTTCACACGAGAACTTCGGCGAGCCTCAACGCAGTTGCCACTTGCCGCCGCCTTCGGTGGCGCTACCTACTACCGCCTTCACAAGCGCCACTGTCCTCACCGCCGCCTGCCACCGCCCTCAAAAAATTAAAAAATTTGTGTCAAACTTATTTCTCATATAGTGAAATTTTTTTAAGAATGATTTCATGTTTTTTTCGTTGACCGTTTAGTTTAACTTTATAAAGAATTTTTTAATTTTTGTAATATTTTTCGCTTGTGACATGCGTGTAATATTTTTCGCACGTGTATAAGGTCTACCGCCGCTTTGCTGACCGAGTCACCTGATTAACCTCCCCACCATCCTTCCTGGTCTGGGCGGGGAGGGGGGGGGGGGGGCTTGGGGTTGGGCATTATTCAACCTTTTGGGCCAAATGGATCGGAGTTTAAGAAAGTGAAAATTAAATGTAAATGTATGATTGTAGTTAAGTAAGAAAAATCTAAACCAATGTTAGAACACATAACCTTCCAAAAAGAGAAATGAGAAGAATTTTTTGGGAAATCTCAAAAGATAAGTGAGAAGAATTTTACGGGATGAAATGAGTAGTACGAACTCGCCCCCTCACAATAATTCCTGGATACGCCACTGCTCGCTGGCGTTGTATGCCTCCACCCTTACCGCCTGTCACCGCCCTCCCACACCAGAGTCACCATCTACCGCCACTACTGCCGTCCTCCGACCACCACCAGTGGAAACTTGACCTTCAAGCACCGTCACAACTCTGGCTCAAAAATATTGCCATAGAGTTGTCAGATTTAATCTGGGAGATTCATTTGAATTCTGCCATGAACAAGGATTTCAAATCTGCCACATATTTGGCGGATCTATCATGGAATAGTAACACAAAATTGCCATATATTTGGCAAAAACATGAAATGAATAATCAAATGTTCGAAAAAATCCAAATTGTAATTGAATAAGCACGCTAACACAATCGTAAGTTACACATACGAAGTTATTTAAAAAGAATCAGAAAATCTAGTTTACATAAACCTTTTTTGCCATAATATGATTTTGTCAGTGTACATTTCTCCCATTAACATGGCAAAATCGTATGCCATCATCTAAAAATCCAGAAAATCAGAAATTTTCAAAAGCTAAAAAATACTCCGTAAGAAATTAGAAATACGAAAATAGAAGTCTGAAAATTGGACAAATCCATGTCCAAATCCTGAGAAACGGTAGAATGGAAATATGAAATGGAAGATGAAGGAGAAGGAGAAGAAGAAGAAGAAAAACAGGAAAAAACCTGAAATCCGAAAGAACATAAAGTCAATGGTGGTGGATGGAGAAAGCGGTGACGTGCACTTGTCGTGAGGTGCACTCAAAATAAATACAATACAACGGTTATACGTAGTATAACGAAGTAAGGTTCGTATCCACAGGGAAATGGATACTTTTCTTTTATGTAATGAGTAACAAGGGGGGGGGGGGGTTGAGTTTGATTTGATTTAATTTAATTAACACTAAGATGAACGACTTATGTGGTTTAATTAACAGAGATGAGGACTTGGTTTTGCTTTTATCCACTTAATGAAATGTTCGTCGATCCCGGTTATATCTTTAACTATCTTCCTCTCGAATACTCAATCGAGGAGTATATCCAGTTCATCGAGGGTAGTTATTAATAACGAGATGCGTTCATCAATAAAACTTACTATCGAGTCAATATAGAACAAGCGCCGTATATTAACTTGATAGTAGCAATAAGCTTAAGATGAAAACGATTGAGATCGATAACCTCAACACAAACGGTTTATTGGTTTAATCAATATAATTAATTCCCCTTGGCATATTAACCATGAGATGCATGCATTAATAGTCCAAGTTTACTACTGTTGAAAGAACCGGATTAATAACAAGTGTATTAACCGATTAATTTCTAGTAATAATTAATATAAGAAACAAAACTAGTTGATACTTTAAGTACTGCTCAAAATATTAATATGGAATATGAATAGGAAAGAATTAATATTCAAGGAAGAAGATTAAAGAAAATAACTCACAACTTACAAATCATTAAGCTTCAAAGTAGCAAAACCAAGATGGAAGAGTTTAGCTCCTCATTTGGAGACTAAACATGAAGAAAATATAAAGAAAGAACTATTCTAGACTGAGCTTAGATGTATAAAGGAATTGGATGTCTAATTGTGAAGGAAAGGGGGTGTATTTATAGCCTTTTGAGATGCAGCTCGGGTACCCGATCGGGTATATACAAGGTACCCGATCGGGTATGTGTAATACCTCAAATTCGAGGTATACTCGATCGATCAAAGGGAAAATTTCATAAGCATACCCGATCGAGTATACCTTTGTACCCGGCCGAGTATGCTTATAACTTCAGATCCGGGGCATACTCGACCGAGTTCGGGTTTGTATTTGAAGAGATACCCGATCGGGTGTGTCGGTGTACCTGATCGGGTATGGACATTCGATCGTGGTCTGAATCTTCTCTGCATGATCCTTTGTCTTCGGATCTGATCCGATTTGAAATTTCAACAAGATATCCGATCGAGTATAGGTCATACTCGACCGGGTATAGACCAAAAAATCAGGATCTTCTTTCTTTTGATTTTTGCACCTTCCTTCCACTTTTGGGTTTCACCAACTGTCCTTTGAGTTGATCAAGACCTGTTTGAGCTCAGAATAAACCTAATCTAAACAGTTTACAAGAATTTAACAAACTAAACTATTACACCAAAAGTGTGTAATTTCCAAAGTAAAAATCAATCAAAACTAATTAAAAACACAAACATACAAATGGAAATTACAAACGTATCAACTCCCCCACACATAGTTTCTTTACTCGTCCTCGAGTAAAGTCAAATGTTCACAAGTGTTTATGTCTTCCAAAGTTTCAATAATTTTACAAGATA